CTGGACTCCCGAAATGGGTACGGAAAGAATGGGTACAATGCCCAACAGCAGTTCCTGCTCATTTTGAACAGGATTCGCTGTCCGCGCCGCCGCGGCCTGTGTCCATTCGTGACAAACGACCGCCTGCCCAACAGCGGCCGCTGTTGGTTTGGGACAACATTTGTTGTTGGGCACTGTACCCATTCTTTCGGTACCCATTTCGGATGTCCAAAATGATGATGTCGACGACGATGATGTGAACGCTGTTACGTTGGAGCCATGGGTCGATTGGATCAAGCGGGCCACACAAGGCTGAAGCAGCAATAGCAAAATTAAAGATCAACGATTGGGTCTCGACACTGCGGCAGCGGAAATGGCAATGGGTACGAAAGTTGAGTGCAACGGAGGAACTGGAATGGATGCGGCAGGTAATCCAATGGACTCCACAACATGATTCAATCTATCATGCCAGACGCAAAACGGGAAGACCCAAAACCAGGTGGATCGATGACATCAGAAAACATGTCGAATATACGTTGGGATGTGAGGACATGAGTATTTCAGCGATCCTCGATGTTGTGTCGACGGATTCTTGACAGGTCATGGGAGCACAGTTTACGCCGCATCACATGTGAACGCTCCGAGCATGTGCCACAAGTACCACATTATTTTCAGCGAGTGATCAGACTTCGCTTTATTCGTACGCTGGAGCGACGGTGCAAATTCGCAGCAGATTGGTACACAATCACCACTGTACGTCGCCTACTGGAAGCGGGTTTTGTCCGACACCAAGGCTGAGCGGGCCATGCGGCTAGCACCTATTTTCCCCCACCTCGTCGTCGTCGTCCTCCTCCTCCTTTTCCAAGGTTTCTGTTGTGAAGAACCGCCACGCTGAACTGCGCTCTGGCGCCACACCCGCTGCACCCTAGTTAGTGCCAACGCGCGGGAGTGTCTGTCAGTGTCTGTGTCAGTGTAACGCGATGCACTGTAGTGTAATGTAATGTATTGAAGTGTCTTGCCATCTGATGCATGTATGTACATATGCATATCTGCATATATGTATGTATGTATGTATGTATGTATGTATGTATGTATGTATGTTTGTTTGTTTGTTTGTTTGTTTGTTTGTTTGTTTGTTTGTATGTTTGCATATATGGACATATGTAGCTATGTGCTTGTACGTATGCATGTCTGTACGTATTTATGTGTGTATGTATATGCATACATCATATAGAGACAAAGCGATACTGACATACGGGAGAGATCAGGGAGGACTTGAAGGCAATGGCGCCTCTCCCTCCTCCGCCTCCTCCTCTTCCTCCCCCTTCCCCTCCTCCTCCTCCCCCTCCTCCTCTCCCCTCCTCCCGTCTCACATATCGTTCCTCTTTCTGTATCCTCTCTCTGTCTCTCTCTCTCTCTCTCTCCCCCAGAGTGTGCTTCATCTTGCCTCCATCCTTTAGTCTCATACTTCCGTTCTCTCTTATCATCCTCTTATTACCCGTAAGGGCTTCGCCCCCTGCCGCCGGCCCCCTCTCTCGGAGAATGGGCCATGGAAGAGCTAAGTCATGAGGCCTTGGCGCTGTCGTGAAGCAGTATCGAAACTTCATGCGAAGCCGATTCGCAATCAGCAAAACCAACTGATCACAAGAGGGGTTACCACACCTGGCGATTGGTAAGACGTGTATGGTTTACGGGCTTGGTTACCACACCTTGCGATTAAAGGGCCGAGGGAGTTCTCGCAGTTTGGGTTACCACGCCTTGCGATGGATGTGCGTGAAGGGTGGCACCGAATTTCAGAAATGTGGCAAATCCCTTGTGTTTTTGGACCCTGACCCCGCGGATCTGCGTGAGGGGTGGCACCGAATTTCAGAAATGTGGCAAATCCCTGTGTTTTTGGACCCTGACCCCGCGGATCTGCGTGAGGGGTGGCACCGAATTTCAGAAATGTGGCAAATCCCTTGTGTTTTTGGACCCTGACCCCGCGGATCTGCGTGAGGGGTGGCACCGAATTTCAGAAATGTGGCAAATCCCCTGTGTTTTTGGACCCTGACCCCGCGGATCTGCGTGAGGGGTGGCACCGAATTTCAGAAATGTGGCAAATCCCTTGTGTTTTTGGACCCTGACCCCGCGGATCTGCGTGAGGGGTGGCCGAATTTCAGAAATGTGGCAAATCCCTGTGTTTTTGGACCCTGACCCCGCGGATCTGCGTGAGGGGTGGCACCGAATTTCAGAAATGTGGCAAATCCCTTGTGTTTTTGGACCCTGACCCCGCGGATCTGCGTGAGGGGTATCGATTTCGAGCCCCCCCAAAGATTCAGACAACGCGCCCAGGAGGTGCTAAATATCTGGTTTGGGCCTCCCCCCCCTCGCGCGGTCAATCAACTAGTTACAGTAACCAGCAAGAAGCAGAACTGTAACACTGGAAACTACAAGCTACAACTGACACAGGAAACTGCGAACCCGCGCCTACAGCCTGGTGGCCCCACAAGGGGGCCGGCGGATTTTACTGTGTCCTTGATCTATACCTTCTTCTTTTCTCCACTCCTTCCATCCTCCCCTCCGCCCTGCTTCACATCTCCCCATTTCGTGCGACTACGCTTTCCACGCCCTTGCCGAGATAGCCGTGCCCTTGGGGCAGGTGGATCAGTTGACGGTGCGTTCCGACTGCCAGGGGTCCATCAAGGGCGCCACGGACGCGCGGCACGCTCTGAGCAGCGCTAGTGTGCGGCGCCGTCTCTGGCAGACGCGGTGGAACAAGCATGGCGGCCGTGCCCAGCTCGTCAAGCCCAGAAACAACACAACCCACGGCTAGGTCACTGCTGGCGTGAGCGCGCGGCAGAATCGCGGGAGCGACCTCGTCGACCTCTGGGCCACAGAGGGCGCAGCGCTCTGGGGCACTCCCTGAGTCAACCTAATTTAGCCCAGGCGCGCCTGTGAGCGACTGCCCCTGACCTAGGCGCCCTGGTGGACGGAGGGAACGTTCCCGCCGCCGAGATAAACAAAAAGTGCCGCTAGTAGTTGGGGAGGAGGAGGAGTAGGAGGAGGAGGAGGAGGAGGAGGAGGAGGAGGAGGAGGAGGAAGCACTCCCGAGCAGCGTGTCCTGTTCGCCTGGGCCTGCCCCGTGGCGGGGGCTGCAGCTTGGGGCGCTGGATCGGCATGCACTCGGGTCACACCGCGGCAGTCATGGCCCCGAAGACAGCGGCGGCCGGCACAGTGGACCTTACCTTCGACTCGGCGGCGGGCGAGGGGGGTAAGTGAGAATCGAAGAAGAAAAAAGTTGCCATAAACACAAGCTTTCGGCGCTCCGCGTGGATTTCTTGGATCCGCGCTGGCCCCCCCGTGGCGGCGCCTCCGGCGCCGCCCCTAGCGCGCTCCGCGCGCCAGGGAGGGGGTCCAGCGCAGATCCAGGGAAGGGGGTCCGTGCGCCAGGGAGGGGTTCGTTTTTTCTTCTTCTGGGGAAGTGAGAAGGAGAAGGCCTTCTCGGAAGGCGGCGGGCCTTCTCGGAAGCCCCCCGCGCCTTTAGGAGAAGCTGTATGTGTCTTCGGGACAGGCGCCGAGACCTTCCCAGGAGGCCGGGGGACTTCCGAGCCTTCTGAGAAGGCCCGCCCCTTCTCCCTCTCCCCCCCCCGGGCTCGCTGTTGATCGACGTCGATGGTGAGGCACTCTGAGAAGGCCGAGGCTGCCCGAGTGTTGCCGCAGACGGGCCCCAGGCCCACCAGTCGAAGGGCACCAACTATACACCAACACCGATCCTGGCCCAGGATCACCCTGGGCCCAGGATCGGTGTATATGCATTCTTGCGCAAGGCAGGAGGGCGTATACACCGATCCTGGGCCCAGGGTGATCCTGGCCAGGATCGGTGTTGGTGTATAGTTGGTGCCTTCCTAACCAGGGTCGATCGCTGCAGCGTGCCCCAGCGACAGCACAGCCCGGCGGACACGCGCGGCCGGCCACGGCGCGCGTGCGGGCACGCCAGCGTGCAGACCTCGGTCGTGGACGAGCCGGGTCACGCGGCCACCGATCGGACGTGCTGCCTCTGTTCCTCACCATGTTCCCCTCCCTTCTCTCTTTCCCCTCCTCTCCGCCCCTCACCCGCCCCCCCGCTGCCTCCTCTCTTCCTCCCCGGCGTCCCTTCTCCCACCTCCCTCGTCCCCACGTCCCCTCCTCGCGTCGTGCCCTTGTGATTTTATATCATGCCTGGGCTGGTCGCCCTCTCCACCTATCACACCTGTCCTCTTCTCCCCCGCCTTTTTCGCCATGCTTCTTTTCTATCTCTCCACCCCTTCACCGTCTCTTCCCTTCCCCCCGTGCTCCCCGCGTCCCCATGTCATGCCCCCCAATCCTGTCCCTCTACCCTCCCCCTCCCATTCCAACCCATCGTTCATTACTCCCCTGCCCCCTCTCTCCGATCGTGTCCCTGGCACCTTCTCCCCTCCTTCTCTTCAGTTCGAAGACGAGCAGCACCAATACTTTGTTTAGTTTGGTGTCTCTTCGGTGGGATGGGCACGACGCGCTCCTTGTATTTCCAAACCAGAATTGGCAAACTTGTGTTATGATAGTGGATTGATCTGCAACGGGACGGGACCCGGCAACGGTCGGCGAGCACGCTGCGAAATGGCGCCGACACGGCCAGCCATGTCGCCTGGCCGACACGATGATGCAGTTATGATGGGGCCGCGGCCCCAACGCCATCATCCGCAGGATGCGCTCCACACTTCTGGCGCGTGGAGCGGTGCCGGCGCCTGTCCTTCACCACCTACCAGACCACTCCAACCCAACCCGAAGGTCCTAATTTGCCCTATGTTCCCAGTGGGGGGGGGGGGCGTCTGGGAACATTGAGAAAACATATATGGAACTCGAATTTGGGGTCTGCGGGTTGGGCTGGGGTGGTCTGGTAGGCAGTCAGTCCTGTCCTATCCTCGTCTCTGCGGCGGCGGCGACGGCGGCGGCAACGACGAAGACACCGCGGCGGCGACGGCGGCGGCGGCGGCGGCGACGACGAAGCGCTTCCCCCCTGCAAGGCGGGCAGCCAGGCCCAGCGACGGCTACCGCCGCCGCCGCAGGCTCCGCGCCTGGGCCTGCCTGGCGTGCCGGGCTCGCCATCGTCGCCCACGGAGCTGCCCGCGCCCACCTCCCCGGGCCTGACCGAAGCGGGGCTGGACCTGGGCGCGGAGCTGGACCTGGGGCTCGGCCTGGCACCGCTCGGGCAGGCGCGGGCGGCGGGGGGTGGACGATGGAGAGGGAGTGGCTGGGTTGGGCTTGGCATTCGGTCTGTGTCAGAAGGCGAACACAGAAATCAGCACTGGGCCATGCGGTGCGTGATGGCCAGTGCAATGGCAAAGCCGAGCCATAGAGCAAGGCCAGATGCTACGCCATTTCTTTATTCGCGGCGATAACGGGCGGGGGGGATAACGTAACGCTCCCCCCCTCCGTGCGGTTCCGGCGCCACCACAGCGTCCGCGTGAACGACGAAGACAAGCGACGACGACGACGAAGACGACGAAGACGACGACGACGACCACGACCACGACGACGACGACGCAGACGACGACGACGACGACGACGACGACGACGACGACGACGACGACGACGACGACGACGAGCGACGACGAGCGACGACAACGACGACGACGATGACGACGACGACGATCACTACAACGACGAAGAGCGACGCCTCCGGAGGTTTCTGGAGGTTTCCCGCGGCATTTGGAGGCCTCCAAACGCCTTCCTGAAGTCATCCGAAGGCCTCCAGGCCTCCAGAGACCCTCGAAAGCATTCGAAGGCATTTGACAACGACGAGCGACCCGGAACGATGACGACCGACGACAACGATGACGACGACTACGACGACGACGACGACGACAACGACGAGCGACGACGATGACGACGACGACGGCGACGACGACGACGACGACGACGACGGCGACGACGACGACGACGACGACGATGACGACCGACGACAACGATGACGACGACTACGACGACGACGACGACAACGACGAGCGACGACGATGACGACGACGACGGCGACGACGACGACGACGACGACGACGGCGACGACGACGACGACGATGACGACGACGACGCCGACGCCGACGCCGCCGCCGACGACGACGACGATGACGATCGACAACGAAGAGCGACGACGACGACGACGACAGGCGACGACGACGACGATGACGATCGACAACGAAGAGCGACGAGAAGTTGTGGCGAGCACATCCCTGCCAAGGCGTCTTTGCCTCTACGTGGCGTATAAGAGGTATACTCCTTACCTCCCTCCTCCGTCCTCCTCTTCGTCGTCGTCGCCGTCGTTGTTGTCGTCGTCTTCCTTCTCATATTGCTGTCTCTCTTACGAACACCACAAGTGCCTGAGAGCACCGCAACTTGCCCGCGACCACCGCCCATATGCGGATCTGTATGCGGATCCCTATGAGGACCCATTTGGTGTTCCTCATGCGCATCCCTAAGCGGATCCCTATGCGGATAGTTCTGCGGATGCCTATGTGGATCCTTATTCGGGTTTCTACGTGGATCCCTTTGCGCACGGCGGCAGTGCTGGGGGCGCACTTGGGGCCAGAGCGTTACGCTATAGTGGTGGGGGGTGGGGCGGGGGAGCCATAAAGCGAGTTATGACCCAAGCAATAAAGAAACACGCTCCAATGCTCATGCAGGACTACCTGAGTATGGCCCCTTTGTGGGTCCAGCTCACCGCAGCAGAAGAGCCAGCAGCCGCCAAGCTTTTTCGTGCAATTCGGGCAGCCACGACAGCGTCACCGTAAACCACGAAAGTGACGGTGCCCTGGCATCCCGATGTCATCGCCGCCCTCGTCGTTCTGGGAGTTTCTGGGCCTTTCATTCGGTTCCCGTCGCCACGGCTCGACGCTGCTCGGCAAACGTGAGAGATTAGACCTTGGGAGGGGTCCGCGGACCAGCTTCGATCGGATGATTGAGGAGCTTGCGGCGCGCCAGCCTTGCGCTTTGCCTTGCCGCCAGCGTCCAAGGTTTGTGCATTACGTACATTGCATCCTCACTCTGATGCTTGATCGTAGGGGAATGAAGCCACACCACGCTGAAGCACTCTCAGCGCCCTCCTGCGTTTCAGGCTCGTTTGGGCACCCTGCGTTTTTTAAAGAAGAGCGGCAGCATGTTTTTTTCCATATGTTGTTGTTGCCGCTGCTCCTCCTTTTCCTCCTCCTCCTCCTCCTCGCAATCTAAATCTCCTTTGAGGGCGGAGTCAACTAAAATCATGGTCGAACCAACACAACAAAATAAACAAGCAATACAACCAATCTTGGGGGACTCTTCGCCTCCCCCGACCCCTGGAATGATGATTGTTTTGGTATTATGTGTTTTTTTGTTTGTTGTCCACGGTGTTTTTAATTGGGAGGAGTAGAGGAGGAGGAGGAGGAGGAGGAAGAGGATGAGGAAGAGGAGGAGGAGGAGGAAGAGGAAGAGGAAGAGGAGGAGCAGGAGGAAGAAGAGGAGAAGGAGGACGACGAGGACACAACGCGCTCGAGCAGGCACTCTGCACTTCGACCTAGTGCTGAGTCATTGCGCATATCTTAGTCTGAGGAATTACTTCGTAAGGATTCCTGCAGTAGGTGCCTTGTTTTCGGCAGGGTTCCGCATTATAAGGATATCCTGGCCGAGATTCCTGGAGTACTCATTCAGTGGGACCTCCTCCTGAAGTATTCCACTAGCAGAGAATTCCTGATGAAGGCTTCATTCAGCAAGGAACCCTCAGCACTAACTCCCCAGCAATAATTCCTTAGGGTGCATTCATTCGGTGAGGATCCCTTTAACACGGATCTGTTCCGTAAATATCCCGCAGGTAGGAGTCATGAGCGATGCTGTCTTTCGGAAGGACTCTTTGGGAAGTGCTCCGTAGGAGGGATCCCAGTAAGGGGTCAGGTAGTGATGATTCTTAGGGGGAGAATATGCGGACCAGATATTACGTTCGTATTATTTCAGTGGTGGTTCTTCTTTAAGAGTTCCTAGTCCTAGTCCTTCCGTTCTGGTTCCTCCTCGCCGATTATTTCAGCACGGATTTCCCAGCAAGGATTCTTCAGTTAATATTCCTTAAGGGAGATTTGTTTAGTGAGGGATCCTGTATTACGGATTTCTTGCGTAATGCTTCTTTTGCAAGGGACCCATATCAAAGACTCATTTGATCAGGATTTTTTAGCGCGCATGTCTTAGGACGGATCCCTTTAGTAAGGGCATCCTGCAGCGCGGATTCGGGTAACAAGGCTCCTTTCCTAAGGATGATTTGATTCAGTCCCTTAAGTATTCATTCAGTGAGGGTCCTCCCTTCAGGTGCGAATTCGCATTCCTTTCGTGAGGATCCCAGGATCGGGCCCATCGGAGTCCGGTGAACGTATTTGGCCCTCAAGTCGAAGAACAAACAAGAGATCCGCAGTTCAAGTGTTGAAGTCTACCGAGTGATTTCTATTATAGTTAGTCCAAGCAATCAGCCTGTGACCCAGTATGATCTGCGGAGTTCGGCCCAGGCTGGTATTGCGCGAAAGTCCCACCCCCGTGCCACGCCAAAGAAAGCAAGGATGAGTTTTTAGTGGGAATTTCAAGAACCCAGTGCCCGTGCCGTTCATGAGTGCGAGATGTGGGATTCCCGCTCACGGGATGATACCAATCATACGAAGAAGAAGGAGGGCGAGCCGCATTCATTGTTTCGTCGTGTAGTCAAGGGGTTCAGCTAGTTAGCAGCACGAGCAATGTGAGTTTCTTGATTTCGACTTTGATGCTCGGTGTCTTCCCGCTGAATGTGCTCCGATGCCATGTGCTTGTACTTGTGGGTTTCGAGTGTTCGGGTTTTGGGCCTTCCTAAAGCTTTTGTGCTGGTGCCCCGGGTTCCCTGCGTAGGATTTGGACTCTTACGGCTGCAGCCTTTGCCGTTCTCGTGTTGAGTGCTACCATTTGCGCGTTTCGTGTTTGGCCTTTCAGTTTGTTTCGTTGTTGCTACGGTTTCAAGTGTTTGTATCAATGTTGATGTTTGTCATGACTTGCTGATATACAGTTTGCAGGTTTTAGCGCAGTTTTTAGCCAGGTTGACATACGCATGCAGTGGTCGACGCCTGTGTGGTTTGACGGCTTGGCCTTTTGCTCTGCAGCTTCAGGAGAAAATCATCATCATCACCCATCATCCATCATCCATCATCCATCATCATCAGCATCATCATCAACATCATTAGCATCGTCGTCGTCATCATCATTATCGTCATCGTCGTCATCATCATCATCATCATCATCATTATCGTCATCGTCATCATCATCATCATCATCATCATCATCATCATCATCATCATCATCATCATCATCATCATCATCATCATCATCATCATCATCATCATCATCTTCTCCACCATCATCACCATGAACATCATTACCATGATCATCACCGTCGTCGTCGTCGTCATCATTACCGTCACCATGGTCGTCACCGTCGTCTGGTACCGTCTATTGCTGTTTTGGCTCACAAATTGGGTAGGCCTCCTCACCCCAGCGGCGAGATGGCGCCCCATCCACCAGGCCTGTGCCCAATCATGATAGGTGATCCTGCCCTGCTCTTCGGCGGGTGGGGCCACCGCCTCGCGCGCCTCTCTCTCCGGTTCCCCAGCGGCAGAACGGAGCTGGCGTTCGTGGAAGCCCGTGCTGGAAAAGCGCTCCGTGCCTGTGCGTTGGCGGCCGCCGTGCTCGCGCTGCTCGCTGCCATCGCCGTGTACCAGGATGACGGTCGCAGCTGTGAAGAAGGCGTGGACCCGGCGGCCTGGACCGTCTACTGGATGAAGATCGCAAGTATTTGTATATCCAGTTTCCTTCGGCGAACCCGCCAGCGTGCCAGCGGCGCATTCCGCGTGATGGGGCTTAATTGGGCTGTCTTAGGCTACTGTGGGACAGCCCTTGGGCGTCCCTTGCTACCATCTTCGATCGTCTTGGGATCCTCATGGGCCATCTCTTGCGCCATGTTGGGGGACCTTTCTGGCTGTCTGGGAGGCGCTCCCACCTCAGGCCGTTTGGGGCCCCTCTGCTTGCCCTCTTGGGCTAGCTTGGGGCTCTCTTGGGGCGCATAGGGGCTATACTGGGGATCTCAGTGAGCCATGTTAAGTTTTAAAAGACAGCAAGTGGAACGACGTTCGAACAACGAGCGTGAAAAGCGAACCACATGGAATAACATGAGGAAACTCAATGTTTTGGGCGTCTTGGGATCTCTTTGGCGCATCTTGGGCTCTTATTAGGGACTGCTGGGTGCCTCTTGAAGCAGCGTTGTGCCGTCTTTGCGGCCTTGGTGGCCTTCCTGGGCCGTCTAGGCAGCGCTGGTGAGCTCCAACAGCGCGTCGGGTCGCCCAGGGAGTTTCGGGAAGCAGGACCAGTGCATGCGGGTACACGTGAGGATAGGAGGGGGGGGGCTTCAGAAAAAGGTACAGAACCCTACCGCGCAGTACTTCACATTCTAACACGCCGCAGCGTGCCAGGGGGCTCGTTAGTGGATATTTGATCCCTCCTACCCTTGCAATATGCTTGAGGTGGTATGGTAAGCTAGGAGCCATCGGGAGCGAGAGGCTGGTGTCGATCATGTGCTTCTACGCTTGCCTGCAGGTTATACTGTCGAAGCCTTATTATGTAGCTCTGCTGCAAGGGACTGACCCGACCAGATTCGTCGTCCAGAAGAGCGACGTTGCCCTCCACAGAGGGGTTGAGACGGCCCTGACCTGCCTTATGCTAGATGGCGTACTGACAGTGTCGCACCTGTACTTTCAGGTGCGCTGGTACTATCTCCTGCCAGCTGATTCTGTAGTGCTGCTGCCGATCGCATTTTTTTTCATGAGTAGTGGTCCTGATACGCAGGGCGAGTTGTGGTCGGTACTGACACTGGGCTCGCTGACACTCTTGGCGATCACAGGAACCTGGACCAACGAGGCCACACAGCGGAAGCTGTTCATTGCCTTGCTCCTGGAGCGGAACGGGCGTGTTGCGACCGAGTTCAAGCTAGAGCAGCTGGGGTCAGCTCAAGGGCCCTCTGCCAAGGCCCTGGAGGGCGAGGGTTCCTCGCACGTCAGTGCAGGCATAGATGGGGTCTCCCTGGTGTCATCGAGGGCATCTGACCGGGTGTTCGACCCGAGCTGGCTGGAGGGCATGGACAGCGACGACTCCACAGTGGCAGACAAGACCAAGGGCGCGCTGCGATCCGCGGCTGCGCTGGGACACCGACAGAAGTGGCTCATCGACACGAATCACATATGCCTGACCTCGAGGGTGCTTGGCTCCGGCAGCTTCGGCCTCGTCGTCGAGGGCGACTTCGTGGGCACCCCCGTGGCTGTGAAGATACCGTGCGGACAGGCCTCCCTCAAGGCCTTGCTGAACCTGTGGAACGAGATGGGCATCCTGCGACACCTGAGGCACCCCAACATCGTGGCGTTCCACGGCGCGTGCATCCAGCCAGACTCGGGCCGCGTGGCGGTGGTCCTCGAGCTCGTGCGCGGCAGGGGTCTGGACGAGCTAGCCTGCGGCGTCGAGGGCCCGCTGGAGGAGCGCGGGCGCGAGCAGCTGCTGACCGGGGTGTGCTGCGGGTTGCGGTACCTGCACTCTCGGACGCCCCCCGTGGTGCACGGCGATCTGAAGGGCTCCAACGTGCTGGCGGTGCAGGACGCCCAGGGCAACCTGAAGCCGATGCTGCTGGATTTCGGGCTGTCGCGCCGGGTGAGGGGCTCCTCGCGGCCGCCAGGTGGGACGCTGCAGTACATGGCACCCGAGGTGCTCAACGGCTCCCTGTTGGACTGTCCAGCCGACGTGTTCTCGTTCGGGCGCTTGCTGTTCCTCGTGGTCAACGGCGTCCTGCCGCTGCTGGGCATGGCTGAGCACGAGGTGCGTGAGCGGTCTCGCAGTCAGTCGCCAGAACTGGACTGGCCCAAGGACATGGTCGGCTCCGCCCTCTGGGCCATGTGCACGAGTCTCCTCGACTTCAACCCGGCAGAGCGGCCCACCATGCTCGAGGCACACCGGATGCTGCGCGACTGCTTCCACGGGCGGCCAGGGCAGGACTCTCCCGAGCCGCTCTTCCACGGCCTTGCGGCGGAGAAGCCCTGGCCTCAGCCGTGGAGCGAGACGTACTCGAGGCTCCAGGCGCGCGCACCCAGTGCCGTGAGAGACCTGCGCCCATTGGAGTGTGCCCAGGCGGATGGCCGCTGGGGCTCGTCTATGCACTGCAACGGGTGCGAGCCCAGCGACCAATCCGTGGCCTCCGTGTGAGCGACCAGAGCGCCTTGGGCCCCCTCCCTGCAGACGTGGGTGATGGATGATGATGATGATGATGATGATGATGATGATGATGATGATGATGATGATGATGATGATGATGATGATGATGATGATGATGATGATGATGATGATGATGATGATGATGATGATGATGATGATGATGATGATGATGATGATGATGATGATGATGATGATGATGATGATGATGATGATGATGATGACATGATGATGATGATGATGATGATGATGATGATGATGATGATGATGATGATGATGATGCCGATGATGATGATGATGATGATGACGATGATGATGATGATGATGATGATGATGATGATGATGATGATGATGATGATGATGATGATGATGATGATGATGATGATGATGATGATGATGATGATGATGATGGTGGTGGTGGTGGTGTGTGATGATGGTGGTGATGATGATGATGATGATGATGATGATGATGATGATGAGGAGGAGGAGGAGGAGGAGGAGGAGGAGGAGGAGGAGGAGGAGGAGGAGGATCTGGTGGTGGTGGTGGTGATTGTGGTGGTGGGGAGCAGGAGGAGGAGGAGGAGGAGCAGAAGGAGGAGGAGAAGGAGGAGGAGGACGGGCCAAGGCGCGGGCTGCCGAATTGGCACCGTTTCAGGCCGCGCGGGTGCGCAGCCATAGCGCCCGAAACCCGTCGATCGCCTTCTCCCTACAGCTACACGACAGTCCGAACACATCACAGAGATGGGGACTTGGCAGCACTTGCCTGCAATCGTGAGCTGTGGGGGCACATGCAGTTACAGTATTTGGCATGGCTACTACTGTCTTGGGGGCCTGCAGGTGGTCTCAGGGGCCCTCTTGGGGCGGAGGGCTCGAACTGTGAGTCCGAGTTCCTCCTCTTGGCCCCCTCTTGGGGCCCTCTTGGGGCGCCCTTGGGCCGTCTTGGGCGCCTCTTGGGCGATCTTAGGGCCCTCTTGGGCCATCTTGGGGCGGTCTTGGGGACCTCTTGAGCCGTCTTGGACGACGCTGCCATGACCAAAACGCGAATATGCGAAAAACAGACGCCTTCCCAGAAGAAGTGAGACGATGTTTGCCTCTTGGGGCCCCCTTGGCCTGCTGGGGGTCCTCTTGGAGCCGTCTTGGTGCGACTCGGGGCCTCTGGCGCCGTCTTGAAGCAATTTTGGGCCGTCCTGGAGCTGTCTGGAAGCCATCTGGGGCCATCCAGACGCCACCTGTGCCGTCCTGGGCGCCCTTGTCACTTATCGGTGCGCTCTGGGGGGACCCAGGGAAGCTCAGCGGAGGTGTCGGGGACGCCCAGGCAGGCCCCGAGGCAGATGAGGGCCACAAGAGGCTCTCTATCGGTGCCAAGGGGCTCCCAAGAGGGGTCAAAATTGTTTCCTAGAGGATCCCCAGGGGCTTCCGACGAGACCACAATAGGCATCGAATCTGGAAATGCGGTATCCGTCTTCTGGCCTTGCCGCATGCTCCCCGGCCTTTGGCCGGGGCGTGCGCTGTCAGCCTGCGCTGAGGCCGCCGTGGCAGTGCAACCCTGCCGCCCGGCGCCCTGGCAGAGCCTTAGCCCGAAGACCACCCACCGCCCCTGGAGGACGAGGGGGCGCCGACGAGACCGCCGCCGCCGCCACCCGAGCGGGGGGAGGGAAAGGGAGGGAGGGGGGGTCCGCCGTCCGCCGATGCCACCACGGTGGCCGCGGACGCCTGCACCGCGCCGTCAGCCTGGGGATCAACGACGCTCTGTCCGCGTGGGGGGCCGGGGCCCCCCATGCGCAAAGCACACCATCGGGACTCCGCGGCAAGGACTCTGCACGCCGCCGGCCAAGAGGCCAGGGGGAGGGAGAGGAAGAGGCCATCTTCGCGGAAGCAGCGCTTCCACTGGCAGCCGCCGGCGCGGCTTCCGCCACGCTCCGCGCCGCGCTTTCCGCCAGCCACCGCCGAAGGGACCTGGTGGGCGACCGTGTTCGGCGGAGCAGCTTCCGCCGGCCTGCGCAGGCGCAGCTTCCGCCGCTATTCCCCCCGCGGAGGCTTCCGCCAGCCACCGTCGCGGGCCACTGGGGCTCCCCTGGCTCCGCTGCGTTGCAGCGCCTCCATGATTTAACGAGCCAGCTGCGCCGCGGCGGTCTGCAGTTGTGCCCGCCGTCGCGGGCTGGGGTACCCCTGGCGACTGGCCCAGGCGGGCTTGGCACTTGGCCGTGACCCGTGGCTGCGCTGCCCGCCACTCCTGGGGGGCAGCCAGCGGCGGATCCGCGGGCAGTCCGCCCAGAATTGGCGGGCAGAAGCACGGCCACACCCGCACCAAGGGCACGCCTTCAAACTACCGTGACCAGCCTGCCGACGGGTCTGGCCCGCAACGCGGAAAGGCAGAAGCGGTTCGCCAGCTGGACCACTCCGGGTGGCTCGAAGCCTCGAGATCCACCGCGCCCAACATTTTTTTGTCGTGCCGCGCCCCGGACCTCCGCTCCACCAGCAGGAAGGCGCGCGCGCAGACGCGCAGGGCATGCTGGCCCCGGGAACTCGACGCGTCGAGCGCACCTGCGAGGTGACGCACCCTCGCCCCTTCTGCCGCGACTCGGGCACGCTGATCAAGGCCAGCCCCTGGGACCACCCAGACGCCCTCAGGGAGGGGGCCCGGTAATTCGGCCAGACGCAGCCCCAGCTTGGTGCAGTGGGTGTCCAGAGCCACCTCAGACATGCTCGACCACGATAGGCCGCGGGCCGCCTGCACAGCCCAGCACGCCAAAGCCAGGCTGTGGTGGGTCAGGACCCGGTCCGCCCAGAAGCGACGGGCGCACCACCACCACGTCGACGTCTGTGCCGATAGATGGCCTGCATGCACTCCCTCGCAGGGGCTGCCGGCGGGTGCTTCACGAAGGGAGCCGCCCACATGTACTTGTCCAGTTCCCATTCCACGACCTGCTCGCGCAACTCGGCTTCGCCCCTTCGCCCGGGACACCCCGGGCCCGCTGGGCTGCGTCCACCACGGGGTCCCAAGCGTCTCTCGGGGGCGGTAACTGCGGCGGTAGGCCAGACGCCGGCTGGACGTTCACACCCAGGTGTTCGGCAGCGCTGGGCCCCGCCCACAGCTGCCGCTTGCCGTCGTTTTCCGTCAAGCCGACGGCGGCGTCGAATTGCTGCGTTACCTCGAGCTGGAATTGGAGGTCCTCCAGCGTGCCCGCTTTCAGCGACCAGTCGTCCACGTAGCTCCAGTGGCCAGTCCCGTGGGCGCCCGCCAGCTGGTGCCACGGCGCCAGCACAAGGGAGAGCACTCAGCAGCAAATCGGGTCTCCCGCGGGAATCCCCCTTGAGGGAAAGAGGGGCTCGGCCATCTCCCCGGGCACAGCGCAAAAACGAGCCGCAGTCCAGCCAGCGATAAGAGAGTTAACTGCGGTAGGGGGCACCCAATCGCGCTCCTGGGCTTTCCTGGCCACCTGGTGAGGGACCCGATCAAAGGCTTTCATCAAATCCAGCGCAGCGCCATACTGCCCCTCGGCAGACAGCCAAGAGGCCACCGAAGCGACCACGCCCACCTCGCCGTAGGCTTCGGGCGACCCAGGCGGGAGGCACCGCAACAGCATGGCGTGCCAAGCCCTGTGCCAGACACTGGCCACGCAGACCGGGCGACTGTCCGGGGATCCCTGCTTGGGGAGACTCGCCGCCCGGAAGGCAAACATGCTTTCAGGGAAAAGCGTGCACCATTTCCAGGCGGCGCGCGTCCCTAGGCGGATCGACCCCCACAGGGCCAGGATAACCACGCCGAAGCGGGCCTTCCTCCCCAGCCGGGTTGCCGCCCGCGCCGACGGCCTCGCCCCTGGCCCGGCCTCTTGGCAGTCCGCCTGAGCACTGGCCGGAAGAAGGGGGCTCAGCGGTCTGGGCGCTGTCGGAAAGCGCCTCGATGCTGGCCTTCGCGGCCGCGACGAGCAGATCCTACAACTCGTTAGCAATCCACGGGGCGTGCTCCACGAGCGCCTTCGCCTCGTTGGCCTCCCAGCCATCCAGACCGGCCGAGCCCGCGACGCGCGCCACGTGCTGCAAGAACGCCGCCTGGGAGGGCGGCGTGCACCTGTGGGGTGGCGGTGCGGCTGGCACGCCGGCAGCGCCCGCGAGCTCGGCCCACGCCTCCGCAAAGGCGAGAGCTTGGACCGTCCCCCCCCCCAGCCTGGAGTCCTGGAGCCTGGGTCACCCTGGAGGGGGGAGCCTGGGACGACGCCTGGGCACCAGTGCCGTGACCACTCGGCGCGCTGTTGTCCTCCGCGGAAGAAGTCACGGGAGCCGGGGGCGGCCTGACCCTCTGGGCCGCCGCTTTGGCCGCATCAAGGCCTCACCGTTTGAAGCGAGCCTTCCAAGCATGAGCGGCCGCCTTTTTCATTCTGCCCGCCTCGGCCGCAACACTTAATCCGGCGCGGAGAATGTCCGCGGCGCCCCCGAGACAAGAGGGGGCCGCGTGGGGGAGGAGGCCGCCCCCTGCAACGCCGGCGCCCATCTCTTGAGAACCCGCCAGGGGGTCGGGGCTTGGCTCACCGAGCGCGTTCCATTATTCGAAAAGTGCTTACTCGCAACCGTCCGACAAAAAACCAAGTCTTCCTTTTCCGTACAATGGATCGTAAATCTCCCACGGCGGATTCAGGCCATTTGCGAGTAGCTACGTTGCGAGTGCCGGAACGCGCGTGTCTATTGGCAAAGAGGCGCCCCCACCATGCTAACTTCGGCCGACTTCCACGACTTTTCCAAAAGCCTCTGCAAACGGCGCGACCTGCGGTACCGCACCGTTTCTGGACACTTGCCTCGCCGCCGACGGCGCGACTGGCCGCTGCTTCGGCAGCGAGCCTTTGTCACGCTCCCGGCCGCGAGCCGCCTCGGCGAGACCCAGCCGACGCTTCCCGCATCAAGGCCTCGGCGCGCACACGCCACCTCTCTATCGCTTCCCTGGGGGGCAAGAGCTGGTCGTCCTGCGTAGCTTCCGCCACAAGCCTTGAGTGCCGTGTTTGGCCAGTCGACGGGGGGGGGCCCCAAGCATACGCAGCGGTGCGTGTGGGGCGCGTCTGGGGAGCTGGGGGACCGACTCTTCCCGATTTGCGCAGCATAATCCGCGGCCAGGTGGTGGGGGACCCCTCTAACGGGGAAGGTGTAGTCCGGCTCGACCGCCGCCCCCGTAGCCAAGCACCCGATGGGGGCAATTTTCCACTCCGTGGTAGTAGGGATGATCCGCGCGGCAGCCCCAATGCATCACGCTGTCGTACACAGGGCGCCTCTTGATGTCCCCACAATCACGGCAGGGATATCCGAGACGTGCCCGGCCGCAGCGACGAGAGACCCCAATCAACCGGCATCAGCCAAGTGGGGGCCCCACACAGCCGAGACCCGCATCGCGTCGAAATTCCTCCCCACGGAGCGCCAAGAACTCGAGTCGCACTCCTTGCCGCCGGGGGCCCTCTTGCCGAGCCCGGGCGCCAAAGCAGGAAACGCCCCCCTTCCCTCCTCCTGCCAGTGGACGTCATCGGAGGGGCAGCAGACCAGCGGCCCCGCCACCCCGACTGACAAGCGAGCTCCGTGGCCCACCGAAAGCCCGCCGGGGGGCGCCAGGTCTTTAAGAAAGCACAAGAGATGCGCCCCAGAGTCCCTGGCCACAGCCAAGACTGCTTCAAATCGATCTCTCGTGAGCAGCGTGACGTTCTGGGGGAGGATCCGCACCTGCGACGGGGGGTCTGCGCCTTGCGGGCCAGACGCACGCCCCCGTTCTCTGCGGGCCGTTCTGCTGCCCACCGCGCCAGGGGGTGAACCCGGGCCCCGCCCCCCAGGAAGGGGGGAGAAGGCGGAGAGGAGGAGGAGGAGGAGGAGGAGGAGGAGGAGGAGGAGGAGGAGGAGGCGGGGCAGAAGGGCGGAGAGGAGGGGGGAGGAGAGGGGAGGGGGAACCGGGCACGCATCCCCGGCGAGCTGGGGTTGAGAGAAGCACAACGACCCGCGGCTGTTTGTTCAGAGGCAGCAGAGGGTGCTGCAGCCTTCGGGCCTGTTGCCACGGGTCTCGCGCGCTTTCTGGGGCCGAAATCCTGGGCGGAGGGGAACTTTGCCGTGAACAGCCCGTCGCCACGTCTCGACAGTGACGGCCGCCTGCCGGACCCTGCAAGGGTTTCTCCGGAATGTGGACAGCGGCGCCTCTCTTGTCACACCTGTGGCACTTATTACAGTTCGCCCCCTTCTGTCGCCCTATGGATGACTCCCGTGTCGGGGTCGCAAGCTGAAGCGGCTAACTCCGCCGAAAGTCCAGCCCTCCGCTTCCAGAAAGAATTCCTCCTCCTCCTCGCCCTCCTCCTCCTCCTCCTCCTAATTCCTCCTCGCCCTCATCCTCCTCGTCCTCCTCGTCCTCCTCCTCCTCCTCCTCCTCCTCCTCCTCTTCCTCCCCCTCCCCCTCCCCCTCCCCCTCCCCCTCTTCCTCCTCGGCCGCGCCCTCGTCCTCCTCCTCCTCCTCCTCCGCCCTCCTCCTCCTCCTCCTCCTCCTCCTCCTCCTCCTCGTCCTCCTCCTCCTCCTCCTCCTCCTCCTCCTCCTCCTCCTCCTCCTCCTCCCCCTCACGGGTGCCACGCCTCCGCTCACCCGCCTGCTGCTGGACGCGCGCCCAGGGCCAGGGCCTTTCCTCTCGGGCGGCCCAAGCCCACCCATGAAGTCGGAGCGGGCATGTGCCCTGGCACTCCTTTTGGTGGTGGTCCGCCTCTTGCCGTTGGCGGTGCGCGAGGCCCCGCCCATTCCCGCAGGTAAAGTCGGGCAT